ATCGGTTTTAGGCCCTCTGCTATTCTCAATATATATGCTGCCACTTGGTAATATTATAAGAAAACATGGAATTAATTCCCACTGTTACGCTGACGACACTCAATTATATATTTCATCACGACCAGATGAAAACACTAACTCTAAAATCTAAAATGACAGAGTGTCTCAAAGATATAAAATGCTGGATGACGCGTAATTTCCTGCTATTAAATTCAGATAAAACGGAGGTATTACTTATTGGTCCAAAAAACTACTCACAAAACCTCTCACAATACAACTTTAATATAGACGGATGTCCTGTTACTTTATCCACTACAGTAAAAGACCTGGGTGTTATACTAGACCGCAACTTGTCTTTCGAAAATCATATTTCATATGTTACAAGAACAGCCTTTTTCCACCTTAGAAACATTGCTAAGCTACGTAACATGCTATCTATCTCTGATGCAGAAAAATTAGTTCATGCATTCATGACCTCGAGACTAGATTACTGTAATGCTTTATTAGCTGGTTGTCCTGCATCCTCAATAAATAAGCTACAGTTAGTACAAAATGCAGCTGCTAGAGTTCTTACTAGGTCAAGAAAATATGATCATATAACACCGATTTTATCATCTCTACACTGGTTACCCATTAAGTTCCGTATCAATAACAAAGTACTACTACTGACCTATAAAGCCCTAAATGGTTTAGCTCCTATGTACTTAACGGACCTTCTTTCGCCCTACAATCCACCGCGTTCCTTAAGATCACTAAATTCAAGGCTTCTGGTCATTCCTAGGATATCGAAGTCCAGTAAAGGAGGGAGGGCGTTCTCGCATTTAGCTCCAAAACTCTGGAATGGCCTTCCCGATACGGTCCGAGCCTCTGACTCGCTGACACAGTTTAAAACTAGATTAAAGACGCTTCTCTTTAGTCAAGCATTCACATAATTCTTACCTTTTAGTCCTCTGTTATGCCATACCGGAACTGTTTGCCACTGAAACGCATTTCCGCGACAGTGGGGCTCGACAGCCTTAGTCAAACGGGTCGGCGCGTATGGTTGGGTTGCGGAGAGTTTGTGAGATAGTGGTTTTCTAACACCAACTCCTGTATAATGGAAATCATTATGATGCTAATTATGCTAATTTATGCTAATCTATGCTAATTATTTCCCATCTGCCTTTCTGCTGTTATCTCGGGACGCTTGTCCTGAGAAAAATGGCGTTCGTCAGGTCCAGTTTTGTATCTAGCCTCTCACGGGGATTTCGAATGCCCCACCGCCTGTGATGAGAAGACCAGCGCCTGTGAAGAGACGACTCAACGCCTGCGATATGTTATGGCGCCGTTTTATACATAAACAATATTTATATTTAATATTTATATATAAACAATATGAATGTTAGCCAGAGGAGAACTGGCCCCCGACTGAGCCTGGGTTCTCCCAAGGTTTTTTCTCCATCCAATCTGATGGAGTTTTGGTTCCTTGCCACTGTCGCCTTGCTTTTGGCTTGCTTAGTCGGGGTTACTTAATATTTAATATTTAACAATATTATTGATCTGTGTTGTACTACTTTCATGTTATCACTGTGAAGCTGCTTTGAGACAATCTGTATTGTGAAAAGCGCTATATAAATAAATGTGACTTGACTTAAGCAGGTACTAAAGCCATTACCAATAAAATGTAATTGACGCGAGGAGATTGAATCATGGGAGCTGGAAATAAGGTGGACAGTCTGTGTGTCGGTTAAAACAGTTTATTCTTACGGCCTGTTGTGTTTGACTAATTATTTGGATTGAGAAATGTGTTATTATTACTCAGGGACTAAATTTTCTAATTTTCTAAAACTGCTCCTAACAACCTCCAACCTCAGCTCAGACCTTCAGACTGTTCTGACTCCGGCTTTGACAGAATCTTCAGAAATGGGTCAAAACTGTTCAAACTTACAAAACAATCTAAACAGTCAACATCCAATAGAGACAGAGGAGAGCACATTTAGGCCACGCCCACCGTGACAGTGTATTGCGTGAAGCAGAAGCTGCCTCCTTATGATTTCGGACTTATAACAAAAAACAAAACTATGTCTAAAAGCCGCTATATTACAAGCTGTCCCAGGGCCGTGAACAGACATTTTGATGGGCAGTGGCTTAAACCAAAAAAGGAGTTTAAAAAGCAGTATAAGGAGTTTGACTGAGGCAGTATCATCTTAATATAAACAATTAATAACAACTCTTTTATAATTATGGACAATAAGATTACAATTAGGGTTTAGTGCTCAATTTATCAATTTATGTTGTTACAATTACTCTTCTAATTAAATAATGAAATGTCTGTCTGTCTTTCTTATCACACTAGCATATTTATTTACTGTCAGCCTCTCTGATTGGCTGATTAGCTCTCTGAGCTCCCTCATCTTAAATGGAAGTATTGGACATTTAATTGAAATATTATACAGTTACAGTATAAATTGAAATGATATAAAATGCGCATTTGACTTAATTCTCTTTTAGACCACTCGATGGCACAAATTCAGCTCAGCACTTTTCTTCATAAATGCTTTTGATGAGGTACTTGGAGATTTGGCTGATCCTTGATTTGATCGCGGCAAAGTTGATCCTGTGCTAGTTTGATCTAATTATTATTTAGGTTTTTTTTATTTCTTTTTTTTTTTTTTACACGTTTTAGACTTATGTAGCAATTAAACTTCAAAGATCTCAAGAATCTTGTTTCTGTATTTTTAAAGGTCCCCTGACATGAAATTTTCATTTTCTGAGCATTAATATGCTCTGAGCATTAATAAAAGCTCTTTTTTTAACATTAATATGAGTTCCCCTAGACTGTATTTGGTCCCCTCGTGTCTAGAATTTTCAATCGGTGTAAACTGAGCTTTGGCTATTTTTCTCTTCTCTTCATCTCAGATGCGCTGATCTAGAATCTCCCCCTATATGATGTCATACGGGGGAAAGGTTACCTCCCCTTTCTCTGTGTTGCCCGCCCCGGAAAATTTGGCAGGCCCCTGAGAAAACGAGCTAGGAACAGGATGTACGAACACGCAGGCGCGATTTTAGTTGTTCCTAGAGAAATAGCTTTGAGATTTGAGTTTTTCCTCGAGAGATATCATGGCTTGCAAACGAGCATGGCAGTTGATCAGTCTTCGGATGTACAAATGAACACAAAAGTATTTTTTAGCTCCTTCATCCGAGCCTCTGAAGAGACAATGAGTTAATTTTATTTTCTCTGGAAATGCGCCGACACAACTCCCAAAGTTTTGTATGGTCCAAACATTTCACTGACAACTGTTTCCTCAATATAAATCGATCGAGCTACCCAGCAACAATTTCTGATGTTAGCCTAATTGTTCAAGTTCAGGCAGGTAAATTAATCTTTCTCTTAAAATCGTTCAATACTGTTTATGCATCAGTAAGTCAAGCCAGTGACTAAAATATCAACTTCACATCGTTTCTTTTAGTAGGATGAAAATAATCTTTTTTAAATTGTGAACAAACTAAACGGAAAGCAATCAAAGAACAATCTTTCCACACAGCGCAAGTTTATTTGGACAAGTCGTTATGAAATCAAGGAAGCACGTTACACTGCACAACGAAGCTCTTACTGTACATCATCGTGTCTGCATTGGTGAAAGCAGAGAGTGCAGAATCTGTGTTATACAATAAGATCTTCATTCTCGCGATCGACAGACTGTCATCTGCTGCTCAATACTCATCTCAGCAACATTTTATGTGATGAATCTAAATACTTCAAAAACTTCTCACGATTCGGTAATCTCGATAGTAAAAACGCATAATAGCTGTAGTAAAACGTATTCAAGAGAGTTTCGCATGTAATATGTAGCTATTTCATATGCAAGCATGTCAGCCAATCACAGCAGTGGGCGGTTACACACAGCAGACACGCCCCTTCAAACAGAGTGTTCACATCAGAGGCTAAAATCAGGCTAGGAAAAATGCCTTTTATTTCTAAATTATGACTATTTTTGGTCTAAAAAACATACTAACATTATAAGGGCAACCCAGGAAACATTATAAAATAATACAACAAACCCATGTCAGGGGACCTTTAAAATGAAATTTTGATGACAGTATATTTTTTGAACAAACATTTATTCAATTTATCAAAATAACTCAAAAAATTGTTTAAACTTTGCCGAAGTGATTGTTTTAAACAAGTATCAACTTAGGCATTATAAAAGCATATTAATTCAGCTAAAGTATACAGTGTGTCTTTTGTACTCTGCTGGTTTGCCCTGTGTGGACGTCCTTGCCACCTTAATACGATTTTTTAACTAACAAACCACCTTTATGATTTGTTTTCACACAAAATCTGTTGCTCCATCAATTTTCAAACATTTTTTTGCAATCATACACTATGGGAGTGAAAAGCAAATGTTTCTTAGGGTGTGCCTTTAGCCCCCTTGTAACCTACTATAAGGTACTATTCATTTAGATTAGAACTCAAAGTATATATATATACATATATATAGTATACATAGTATATTACCTTTTTATTATGTATTATGTATGTTAATATGGTCTTGGAAATATATGTTATACATAATACTAGTATCAAATAAGGCAGTTGATTATAATGGGAAATATATTCACAGGAGTTTAAATGTGAATAACTATTGTATACATAATAATTTACCCGCTGGCTTTCTAATACTTTGAATCCATTTTTGCAAAGATGAATGGGCTTTAACCTGTCTTTGCTCTTTCTCACTCTGTCTTTTTCTACCGATTATGTTATTTATTTATTTGTGTTGTGGTTATTTATTAGTGTTCTATCTATCTATCTATCTATCTATCTATCTATCTATCTATCTATCTATCTATCTATTCTATCTATCTATCTATCTATCTATCATCTATCTATCTATCTATCTATCTATCTATCTATCTATCTATCTATCTATCTATCTATCTATCTATCTATCTATCTATCTATCTATCTATCTATCTATCTATCTATCTCCAGCTCAGATCTCCGCCGTCAGACTCACTGTTTTGCACGATGTCCTGCATCTTCTTCCAGACTCTGAACGGCAGGTTGCCCAAGTATCGTGGCACATGAATCAAAGCTCCAGACGCCATCTGTGGATCCGGCCGTGAGCTCTGGACTCTGGAAGAACATTCAGGAGTCAGAACTGCAGTGGCTTTGGATCAGAACCAGAGAGACCAGAGACGGGAGCAGATCACTCACCTTTCCATTGAGACTGGAAACTCCTGCAGAACAAACACACCATTATCATCAAGAACTCAATCAATCAACCAATGATCTGAAATCAGACCTTCAGAAAGCAGACGTCATTGGCTTTCATCATCTCCTCCATGTCTTTGATTGTGTGTGAAAGAGCTGAGATGTGTGTGTTCATCTCCTCCAGCTTCTCCTTCATCATCTGCTGCTTCTGCTTCTCTTCCTCCTTCAGTGCAGTGACTGTAGCTCTTTCTTCTTTTCTGAGAAACCGATGAAGCTTCTCAAAGTGCTTTTTAATTTTACGCTCTGTGTGATCAGCTTGAGCCTGAAATCACATCACATTCACTTCAATCATCTCAATCCACACACATCAACACTCGATCCCGACATATAACGGATGCAGAAGCAGATTGATCCTCGTTATTTTAATCAACTGGAATCCATTATATTAAATCATAACTGTATACGGTGATACTATACATGACTCTTGATTCTGTTTCTTCACCTTGATGTATGGAACTGTTTTCTCAAACTCTACTTTCATTTTTTCATTGTGTTTCAGTTTCTCTTGTAAGGACTTCAGTGCTGTTCTGAACTCCTCCTAGAATTGGACAAAAAACATAAAAAACAAGATTACAGTGAAGAGAAGAAGAGAAGACAATACAGTGATATGATCATATAATACAGTACAACCTGAGTAAACAAAAAGTACAGTTTGTATAAAATTCCAGCTTTCTATGACCGACATACGTAACAACGTAACACATTTGCATGATTAACACCTATGGTCAGAATTACCAGCATTGCTAAGCGGCTAAGTTACTAGAGCGGGCCGTCTAGCGCGCTCTTAGGCTGCTCTGTGGGAACTGCACAGCCTCCCAGCGAGCCTAATGTGACGTCATGTCCAATCAAGGGTGCTCGCACCCTCACCGTGTCCTAGCTCGCCAGAATGGGCGTGGCTTAGCGTATCTAAGCAGGGTCAGAGGCTGTTTCTCTGATTTTCATTGACTGAAGCGAAATAGCACTGTGGCGCGAGCACGGCAGATTACACAATACTTGTTCCCTCATCTAGAGAGAACCGACGTTACGTTAGGTAACCGATTCGTTCTCTTACGTATTGTGTAAGTTTAGCTTACGCTACGGGAACCCTTTGTCAACGGCGAGCACGCCAGCATCCACTTCATGAGTCCCGCAACATTCTGGGAATCCAGATAAGTGGGAATAAACGCATGTACATAAGCGCGTGTAATAAGCGCATGTATATAAGCACGCACAGGCAATACAGAGTGGTGCAGCTGGTCAATGTATGGGCACACAGCACCTGATGCAGTGCAGCTCAACCAGAAGAGCTAAATTTATATGAGGGTAGTCTGCGCATGATAATATCTGGACAGAACTGATCTCTCACTTTTCATTATTTCTTATTTTTTATTCTAAACTGTTTTAATTATTCTGATTTATTTTGATTATTTTAATTTCTTCTATGTAAAGCACTTTGAATTGCCATTGTGTATGAAATGTGCTATATAAATAAACTTGCCTTGCCTTGCCTTGCCTTAAACAGACAGGAGCCTGGCCTGCAAGGCGGGAACTTGGGAACCCTGGCTACCTTTCTGACCTGCTGCATCAGTATATTCCCTCTAGAAGCTTAAGATCTGGAGATCAGAATCTTATTCTAATTCCACTTTCGATACTTAAACGCAGAGGTGACCGTGCCTTCTCAGTAATCGGTCCGCGCCTCTGGAATGAGCTGCCAGTGGAAATTCTATTGGCTCCGAGTTTGTCCACTTTCAAGTCTCTTTTAAAAACCCATTTGTTTTCTCTGGCATATTAGGTATTTTAGGATTGTTTATTTGATCTCTGGAAATCTGATACTTGAGAGTGGACTGTGTTCACTTGATTTTTATCTTTATTTTTATGTAATTATATGTTATTCTTTTTCTTCCTTTGTTTCTTTTGTTGTGAAGCACTTTGGTCAGTCTGCGACTGTGTGAAATGTGCTATATAAATAAAGTAAACTTAAACTAAACTTAACTTCCAGGTTATAAAACCTGACAAAGGTGAATGGGGAGGACCAGCCCGCTGCCACACATGTCTTGAATGGAAATTCCGCTAGACCATGCCCACGAAGAGGCCACGCCTCTAGTGGAGTGAGGCCTGATGCCCCGAGGGCACTGCAGAAATTTTGCTGTGTAAGTGGCTGCGATTGTTTATTATCCACCTAGACAAACTTTGTTTTCGAAGCAGCGAGACCTTTTGTGCCTGAATGGGGCGGAGTGTGTAATGTAAAATCTCAGAGCCCTGACCGGGCAGAAGAGATTAACATCACTCTCACTATCGGATGCTGGCAGAGCCGATAGGGAAATGAAAGTGCCGACCACTTTGGGAACATAGCTATGTCTAGGTTTGAGGATGACTTTTGAGTCATTCGTGCCAAACTCAAGACACACAGCGTTAACACTAACAGATAGCGCGTGTAAATCCCCCACACGTTTGGCTGATGACAAGGTGATCAGAAAAACGGTTTTGAGTGACAGGTATTTTAGGTCCACTGAGTCTAGGGGTTCAAAGGGGTATACTTTCAGGGCCTCGAGGACCAAAGAAAGATCCCACATAGGAACTGAAGGGGGGCACGGAGGGTTCAACCCTCTGGCTCCTTTGGAGAAGCGGATGATAAGCTCATTCCTGCCTATTGACTGGCCGTGCATTGATTCTGAGAATGCTGCGACGACCGCCAAAAAACTAGGTTTTTCAGGTTTTCAGTCCAGGTTTTTGTCAGCGCACCATTTAGAGAACACAGACCATTTAGACGCGTTGAGTCTTCTGGTAGAAGGAGCTCTAGACTGCGTGATTGTGTTCAGTACTGCATCTGGCAGGGCAACGGATATCTGTTGATCAACCATACGTGCAGAGACCAACGCTCTCGATGGGAATGCCAGATCGAGCCGTGAGCTTGAGAGAGGAGGTCTGCTCTCAATGGGATCGGCAACGGGGCTGTCTGTGACAGGTATGGTTCTCCCATCGCGGGACTATGAGGAGTACTGAATGGTGCGTTTCCCTGATTCTATTGATCACTTGTGGCAACAGAGATACCAGAGGGAGAGCATATAGTGGGCGGTTGGGCCAGGTTTGAGCCAGCACGTCCTCATTCTTTAAAAAAGAACTGTAGGCAGTGAGCGTTGTCTTGTGACACAAAGAGGTCGACTTCCGCTTTGCCGAAAAGGCGCCACTTTAACTGGACTGTTTGGGGCTGCAGGGACCATTCCCCAGGGGGAACGTTGTCCCTGGACAGTCTG